GGCGCGCGAGCGCTGGACGCACGTGTGTCCGCGCAGAAGGACGTGGGTGGGAGGGCGAGTGTACTCTGGGACGTGCGACCGTCAAGCCTGTGGATGAAAGCGCTGCTGCCGGTGTTGGGGGGGTGCAAGCACTCGGCTGCGGGAATCTCCGGTGTTTGGGGGCTTTTCAGTTGTGTTAAATCTCTGTAAGTGAGGCCACGTGTATGGAGAGGGGGGAAACTCGTATGTGTGTGTGTGTCTGCATGGGGTTTGTAGTTGCATTTTTCTCCAGCATTCCAACTTGTGCACTATTGGATTTGCCATGCGCAGCTGTCATCATGAATTAATATGCTCCAAATATATGTCTGCATGTGATAAATCTGTGGCAGCCTAGATATAATTGTGCAGAATGTTCTTTTACACCTACCCATTTCAGGGCACATTTGTTTGCATTTCTTTAATGAAGATTCCGAGAACGAGCCATACAGTTTGAAAAAGCATGGCGTCAATTGGTTAGTTTTTATTTGTAACAATGATAGGTTTTATATCTGGCTTTGCAGGCGCATAGGGCATTGACTTTTACATTCCAGCCCGTTCCCTAATCTGTTCTCAACTTCAGAAATTCTTCAGCCTGGAGCTGGGTACCCAAACACGCTCAGTCTGTGTATATTGTTTGAGTGCCTGGAATGTACACCTGGGACCTCTCCACTGGTGCCCACGGTTTAAGAAAGTAAACAGAAGTTTTCAAGGAGAAATATGGGAAGTAAAACAGTCCTCTGAAGGGACAAAGAAGAGGTGACCTACTAAACCCAGGGCAGGTGTCAGCTGATCCACTCCCCTGTAGCAGCATTGCCTTGCAGAACCCAGTCCAGAAACCTCCAAACCTTTCAACCTTTCTCGTTATTTTCTGAACGGAAATACCAGGATTGCCCTTCTCTTTCTACATTAAGTAATGACTTGGTATATTGTGACGATGGTAGTACCCGGTGAAGAATTCAAGAATTAGCAACAGGGGAGTTGGGTCACTAAGTAAAGGTTCTCATAGGAGAGTCCTTGGTCTCACCTCAATTCCCAGTGTCAGTGGGGGAAGTCTCCTCCTGTAGTCACCAGCCAGGGGTCTCAGAACGTCTCTCAGAAGCTCTGTGGTACATTTCTGCTCAGGCTGAGAGGCTCCTGCCTGACCAAGTGAACACACAGGACGTTTGCTAGGTAGTTGAACGATAAAAATGTAAGGAAAGGTGTCAAAAGGACGCAAGGGAAATGGAGTGTTTCCTGAGCAAAATGGCCTCTCTCAGATCTGGAGCTGGCCTTTCCTGCCTAGCCTATCCGTCTGAAAGACCAGAAAAAAAAATTCTGTTTACACTGAGCCAAATCACCAAAGAGAATTAGAAACCCTCATCCATGGTGCTGCTCGCAGTGGCCAGGAATAGTGCTTACCCCAGTGGCCTGAAATAATTAGCATCTTGCTCAGCATCTTGTCCTGGACTGGGGATTGATTTAGGCCACTGGGAAAATGAGGGCCCACGGCTTTGTAACTGAGCTACAACTCCATTCCTCTGTTAGGAGAAACACCAGAATCCAGACTCACACCGAGCCACTGAGTCCCACCTGTTCTGATGTTCGGCTCGAACTAATCTCTCTTTTCTGTCTTTCAGTTGGCTTTCCTCCCAGAGGCCGCATTCATATTTTGGTATTTGTTGGGTTTTGGTTTGAGACCTTCTCTACGTGTTAGGATCCATGTGTTCTTTTAACGTCCCTCCCCTTAAGTATTTGCCCCCCTCCTCCAATTCTCCCGACATGAAGACGTGCATGGAATGTCCTGGACATCCCAATTTTCTGACTCCTGCTATTGTAACAAAGTCGTTCGTGGTGCTGGGAAAGTAATGGTAAACCTACACCGACATTGCTGTTTATTTCTCAATCTGTGCTTGTTGCTAACCTTCCTTGCAGAGAACCTTAAGGAAAATGAAGAACCTTGGGCTGGGTATGAACTGTTCAATTTCAATGAAACTTACTCCTAACCTAGCTGCCGCTGACTCTCGTGGAAGAAAGTTAGTATTGAGTTTTTACGGTCTCGTCTTCCAAACAATTTTTCAACCCACCAAATGAATGTGTAAGCCGTGTTTCCGCTTTCCTGAGGACACCACAGAGAAACGTCTCCGCCGCACACAGCTGTGTGTGGAAACCTAAGCCATGAGGTTCCATGGCCCTGGTGGACGGCTGTGGGGAGAAGGGGAAGAGGTGCCGAGCGAACATTTCCTAGCCAGGGAATACTGGTGCAGTTTCGGAGTCAGGGTTAGTAATGTCCTTACGTTCCCTCTCTCTGAACCTTTGCCCTGGATAAGGGGGAGTTGAATTTAGCTTTAAGACTGGATTAGTAAGAAGAGAATGTGAAAGTTGGTGTGACAGGTGGGAGGGGGGAGGTCAGCAAGCCCAGGGGCCAACCGCTACCACTCTGAGCAGCTTCTTCTCCTTTGCGCATAAAGCCCAGCCGTCACGTTTCTAAAAATTGTGTACAGCAAGCTGTAAGCTGCTTTGGTGCATGTCCAGTTTATACGTTGGTAAGGAGGTTTTGCTTAGAATTCAGTGATGCTGTTATTTTTTACTTTGTGATTTGATTTCATTAGAATTATTGAGAATTTTAATAAAAAGTTTACGTCTGGCAGACAGAATAAAGTATGGGTGTTTATTATTTAAGGACTATGAATTAGAGTGTATAAAGAAGTACATAGAATTAAAATGATTTGTGCAATTCAAAGTGAACGTTATTAGCTTGATTTATAAAGTCAATCAGCCTAAATGGTTTATTTGTAATCAGGGTTCATGAAAATTTAAATTGTGCTTAATAAATAAAAGGAATCAGGAAACAGAAGCTTCCAGACAGCATGAAATAAGAAGCATTCCAAAGTTAATGATCTTCATTTCTTAAGGGTAATTACTACATGCCAGAACTTGTGCTAAGGCTTTTCAAATCTATTTTTTCTATACTGGGGATTGAACCCAGGGCTTGGGGGATGCTAGACAAGCACTCTACTACTGAATATATCCCCAGCCCTTTAAAAAATTTTTGAAAGTAGGTTTTGCTGTCTTGGCCTGGAACATTTGATGCTCCTGCTGTACCCGCTGTTCCCAAGCTTATGGATAGCAGGCTTGTGCCAGCACCATGACTTCAGGTGGTCTTTTATTACTGGTTTTTATTGAAGAGCCCATGGGTGGGAGCAGGAACCAGCCTGGATGTGAAGTAAGGATGGACGGTAGAGATGGTTTTTATTTCTTTTTCGGCTAAATGATTTATAGTGCTACTGTCTAGAATTTGAAGGAAAAATTAAAGAAGAGTAAATGAGAGGAGTTTGTTGTGGAAGGATGTGCTCATGTAGGAGAGGATGACCCCCAAATCATGCAAATCCACTGAAGCTGAGGTAGCTCACAGGAGGTATGCTCGCCTAGCACATGTGAGGCTCTGGGCTTGGTCTCATCACTGCAAACAAAACCCAAAAACATACAGGAGGGAGATTAGTAGGTGGCTGAGTAATAGGGATTAAAAAACTGAAAATAAATAATTTTTCTCTCCTCTCAGTAGTGCTTCCGTTTGAGACTTGAACTGTTTGCTCATGACTTCAGAGGCTGCTCTTGCCAGCATCTTTAGGTCACTGCCTTGTGCTCTTAAAAAATGGTGGCTCTTTCACTCCTCCTCATCTGTCTGGTATCCCCCGCCATCATGTTACACAGCACCACCCTGGCCTCTGAGTATTTTTCACGTTTTGCAGCTTTGTGACCTTCATCTTAGAGTTCACATCTTCAGACACAGCCTTAGACCCACCATTGACCTAGACACAGACCAGTTCTGATGATGGGAACTTTACAGTTTCACTCAGTGAGTGCATTCCTTCATCTTTCCCACTGTTCCTTCAGAAGCAGTGAGTTGTCAAAGACCACTCCTTGAGTCCTGTCTGCCTAGAAGCCTTTGTAATCATTTCTGCCTCACTGTCCCTGGGACTCGGCTACCTTTCTATTTCACAGTGGCATCTGGAACATCGGTTTGTCCATCCTTAATCCTGAGCCACCATTTTCTATGCTGTTTTTGGAAGTGCCTTGTGAACACAGTCACACCATTTAATTATTGCTACCATAGATTGTGACTGTGAGCCTTATGCAGAGAACCCATGCCTGGTGGCCGATCAGTTCCTGCCAGCTCCAGATGTTCGTCACTGTCCTCCAGCCCCTGCCAGCCATAACACTCTCCTGTTAAACAGAGGGCCTGTCTTTTCCTTCACGAAGGAAAAGGGTGGTGGTGACATATCTTTAGGACTTAGCATCTGTGTTAGCTTTGTTAGTTTTGGTCCATGCTTGCTTGACCCCTTTGCCTTTGTGCCTGTGGGGAGGAAGTACACGATCGGAGAGGGATATGTGATGGAGGAAACCTGTGATCTCATGGGAAGCTGAGAAGGAAAGAGAGGAAGGGCCAGGATCTCACTATCTCCCTTTGGGGCATAAATTACCCCTCATTCATCACCCCCAGACAACAGAGAAAAGAGTCTTTTCCCTCTCCAAGACGCCAGTCAGTTCCCGTTCCCTTCTCTAGTTGCCCTAGCTTCTTCCTCTTATCCAGAAGACATTCTCC